ACATGCATGCGAAGAAGTGGGTATTCACCCACGAAAGCTCATGCTCCAATACGTCTGTTAGTCTATAAGGTGCCACAGGACTCTTTGCTGCTTTTACAGATCCAGACTAACACGGCTACCCCTTTGATACTTGCCTTCAAAGAGATCACCATTGAACATGAAGGCTGTATCTTCCCAATTTTTCCAGAAGATTGTTCAGCTCAATCAATTCTGAATCTCTTATTTCCCAAAATAAGATCTCGGTATTTACAGTGACAGAATGCTACATTAGCTCGGGGCTACTTTCGAGGCAGTGGGGCTTTCCCCATGACAGCAGTAAACTCCTGTGTGTCATGTATATATATTGCAATAGGAGCTCTTAGTCCATTCCTTCTTATAGTATTTGTATGGACTAAAAATGTAGCTAGTGAAATGTGGCTGGTCTGTCCTGCCCACCTGTGTTTTCAGAATGAACTTTATAGTGAAATATTGTTTAATTAACATTTCTTCTTTTTGTACTCATAAATATTCACTTACTGTGTTGTTTTTTTCCCTGTTCCAGGAGGTTGGGAGCATTATTGGAAAGGTCAGTAATTTACTTTAAGAATTTTTTTTTAAATTCATGTCTCAATATTCTGTATCAATTGACCACTGCAATAGGGACTAATTTTTCCCCATTTATTTAACAGAAAGGGGAGACAGTTAAGAAGATGAGGGAGGAGGTAAGAGATAAACTTTGATGTCTTTATTTCTTTCTGTGTCAGAGTATAGTTAGAGGTGTATGGAATAACAGTGCCACCAAGTGGCTGGAAAGATTAATACTAACTATTTATTGTTATATGTGGTGGTGTTTTAATACATAAATGTACAGGCCAAAATTAAACAGTTTTTCTTAATATAAGCTTCCCATAAAGCTGTCTCAGGTTTTTTGTCTCCTTTAAAGGAAACGAAAAGTGGATAATTTCTATAGCACTGTGCCTGTAGCCCTATTGTCTCAGAGCTTATTTAGTCAGTAGGGTTCTGAGGATATGTCTATACTACCCGCCTAATCGGCAAGCAGCAATCAATCCAGCGGGGGTCGATTTATCGCGTCTAGTCTAGATGCGATAAATCGATCCCCGAGCGCTCTCCCGTCGACTCCTGTACTCCACCGCCGCGAGAGGCGCAGGCGGAGTCGACGGGGGAGCAGCAGCAGTCGACTCACCGCAGTGAAGACACCACGGTAAATCGATCTAAGTACGTTGACTTCAGCTACATTATTCACGTAGCTGAAGTTGCATAACTTAGATCGATCCCCTCCACCCCCAAGTGTAGACCAGGCCTAAGTGTCACAGAAACTCTTAGGGGTCTATTCTCCCATTGACTCACATTCATAACTCCTGGGTCTGGGCCCAGATTGAGGAGTTTGGCTCCAGAGCTAAATTTTCCAAAGTTTAGGATTAGGGGTGGGTGTTGAATTCAGGGATTTGGATTGGCACATTATGGAGGGTGAGGGCCAGCCCAAAAGTCTGGATCTCTCTCAGAACTGGAGTGGTCATATGGTACAGGCTCACCTCTAACCACTCCCTTTGTCAACACTTGGTGACATGAAGATAAACCTGCAAACTGGAGACATCATACGTTTGTAAAGATGCAAAAAAGGCACCTTTCCCCCATTCCTGGAGTTTGGATTTATAAACAAAAAGATTAATTCAAAGCTGAAATCGCATAAATCTCACTCAAAATCAACTCCTAGGCTTGGCTGCTCATAGGTTTACTTTCCCATCAGCTGGTCTGTCCCAGGCCCTAAATCTCCTGCTTCAAGGCTTCAGCCAGTCATTTGCAGGGGTCAGGAAGGGTTCCCCCCACCACTGCCATGTATTCTTGCTGTTGGGTTTTGTTTGTTTTCATGGTGGTTTTTTCTTTGTTGTTGTTTTGTTTTGTTTGTGGCATCAAAGATGGCCACAGCTGGAGTTGGGACACTGCACTGTGTGGGCTGAAGCTCTGAGCGTTCTCTCTCTCAGGTGCTCGGCTGGCTGGCTCTTGCTCACACGTTCAGGGTCTATCTGATCCCATATGCAGGGTTGGGAAGGAATTTTGCCTAGGTCAGATTGGCAGTGACCTGGGGGAGGGGAGTTGCCTTCCTCTGCAATTTGGAGTCAGATTCTGTGCCAGGATTATCTGGGTATATCTCAGTCAGTTCTCTGCCATTGCAGGGGCCTTGGGTATTAGTGCACGTTGATCCCTCCTGTTTTCTGCCTGTGGCACATAACAGCTTAGTCTCCTGAAGGCTGTAACACATTAGTCTAATTTCAGTTGTTGGTTTTAATGTGCAGGTGCTGGGTGGTGTTGGTGGTCCGTGATATACAGGAGGTCAGATTAGATCACTGGGTCGCAAACTTTTTTACTGGCGACCCCTTTCACACAGCAAGCCTCTGAGCGTGACCCCCCCCTAACAAATTAAACACACTTTTTAATATATTTAACATCATTGTAAATTCTGGAGGCAAGCAGGGTTTGGGGTGGAGGTTGACAGCTCGTGACCCCCCATGTAATAACCTCGTGACCCCCTGAGGGGTCCTGACCCCCAGTTTGAGAACCCCTGGATTAGATGATCTGGTGGTCCCTTCTGGCCTTAAATTCTAGGACTCTAGCTACCTGTCCTCAGAGGGCTACCCCACCTTTTTTATATTCAGGATGGAGTCTAAAAAGTCACATCTGTCCCAGGGAGTCAGCAGAAACTAACCTGCAGCTCCCTGCAGGGTTCCAATGTCTGTTAAAAGGATGAGGCAATCTACCTTTTTGAAGGTAAAAAATACAGTTATACAGAGAATGTACCCAGAAATGTTCAGTTTAGTTTTAGGGATTTCTGCAGTGCATATTCTGCCGGTTGCTATGTTGCTAGGCCCTTGTAGAAAGTCTCCCATAAGGAAATTTTAAAACATGCGGTATAGAAGAATATTCTGATATGCCCTTTAAATACATGCACTGAAGAGTTTCTTTTCAGCCAGACTGATGTCAGAGCTCTCTTGTTGCAGACACAACTTTCACCCATGTGTTGACTCATTAAATACAGGTATTTATTTAGATTTATGAAAGAAGTAAGTGGTGTGTTTCTGATGCTCCAGATGCCCGATATTCATTAAACAAACAATAATCAATTAATCAAAATGAATTGCTGGTGCTAATCTTATTGTTCCCACCAACAGGCACTTAGAGCTCCACCCACTCAGATTTGTGCCCACAAGTGAGTGCAAAACTGTGGGCACAGATTTTGTGTGTGCATGTTGAATCTACATAAGAGAAGCCCCATCTCCCTTCCCTTCCCTCCCTCCCCCCATAACTCTTTTTCTGAAAACTTATTCCCTGGTCCCTGCAATCCAACCTGTTGGTGTAAAAAAAATAATTTGTCTCATTTTTTCACAATAAATGGAAATTTTCCTCCTTATGCTCCTGAGGACACTAGAAGCATACCCTGTAATTGTTGGTATTAAGAGGTTGATTTAAAAAAGAATAAGGGCAAAGATTGTCTGGATAAACATGATATGGAGACATATCATCTTAGTCCTCAAACTCTGAAGTGAACGTTGTATAAATAGTAAAAAGGAAATTACATATAATTCCTGTAACTGAGCACTTTCTTTTGCACTTTCCTTTAAAGAAAAAGAACACAATTATTTTCATCTAGACTTTTCTGGCAGATGTGATGATAGCAAGTAACACACCATCTTTTGGGAAGTGGCACACCACTTGGCCTGTCTGTGTCATTCTCTAAGCTACCAGGGGCCTGGCACAGCCTAATTGATATGTCTCCGGAAAACTACAGTCCAGTGAAATTCCTTTCACTTCATGGATAAGGCTGCCACAAAATACTGGCATCCCTACTGCTTTCCTCTAGAGTGTAACCTCTCAGATTCAATCATTTCGACTTGACTGAAAGCCTAACAAGAGTTAAATGATCTTTTGCCATGTGAGATTTTCGGAAAACATTGGATACAGTGATGCATTGTGGGACAGTCTTTCACATAAACCGTTGCGACCTTGCTCGCATAAAAAGTACTTCCATTAACGTTAGGCGTATATTCTAAGTATTGTCAGGATGAGTAACCCCTGAACGCCCTGATCCTCTGAGCAGCTCTGCATGGGCAGACTCCTGTGCCCACACAGAGCCCCACTGAAGCAGAGGAGCTCATTGCAGGATTCAGCCCTAAGAAGCCTGTTTAAAGTTTGGTAACTGAAGCCAGACACTTTGAACCAGCTTAAAACTAGGCCTCGCCATTGACTAAATACTGATGTATGATTAGTGCGTAGGGTTACCATCCGTCCAGGATTTCCCCCTTCCCCTCATGCAGAGTGCGGTGCGGCTGATTGGACGGCTGGGCCTGATTGAAAGCCGCTCGCAGCCACTGGGGCCTCTAGCAGCCAGAGTCCCTCCCCCTCCCCCGCAGAGCAGCGCCACAGTGTTTGGCTGCACGTGGAGCTCGCAGCTCTCCCTCGGCCTGGTAGGCGGGGGGGGAGGGGCAGGCAAGGGACAGGGAACGGGGGGTTAGATTGGTCGGGGGTTCTGGGGGGGCTGTCAGGAGAAGGGGGTGTAGAGACTGGTTGGGGCAGGCAAGGGACAGGGAGCAGGGAGACTTAGATAGGGGGTGGGGTCCTGGGGGCAGTTAGGGTGGGGGGGGTCTCAGGAGAGGGCAGTCAGGGGACAGGTAGGGGGTAGGGGGATTCTGATGGGGGCGGGAAGTGGGAGGGGGCGGGGCTAGGGCGGCACCCCGTGTCCTCTTTTTTGATTGTTGAAATATGGTAACCCTATTAGTGCGTATCTGGAAATCCCCCCACCCTTCCCCACCCCAAGGCAGATTCACAACTCTCCAGTCCACCTGTCAGACAAAAGTAGATTAAGTATCTGCTGCCCTTGCCTCTTTGCAGACATTCAGCATACCCGTCAGGAGATTCAGCAACAGGAGGATTTTGCCATTAGTGCGGCTTCTTGTTATATTTGGTTGCTATCATGTAGAGAGGCAAGATACACAAAACCCATTCAACAGCAGTAAGTACAGGAATAAAAAGAAACTACACGGTCTTGGTCTTTCCTGAACCATCTGGGTCTGATTCTTATTACATTAAGGAGTCTGTGTAATACATTTATCCCCACTGTAAAGGGCGTCTGTCCCACCAGAGTAATATAAAGGGGCCATGGTGTAAATGAGAATCAGGTTTTCTGACTCCCAGATGTCTGGTTTCCTATTTCCTTCTTGCTGGCTCTTCCCCTTAAAGAGACATGACTGTGTTACTGCACTGATATCTTACAGTTACTGCTGGATGATTCTTTAGTAAGTGTGGTCAGTACACATTAGCTTACCTATTTTGTATGAGTTTGTACAAAGCACTCATTAGAATAATTTAGTCTAGGATATAAATTAAAGACCTATCAAATATGGCCCATAGTGCTAGTTACCCTGTTTGTTCAGAAAACTGGAGCCCCAACTAGACAGACCATTTTCAAGTGAATAGTTCGGATCCAGTCCAGAGATGAAATTATATATATATATATTTAGTTGATGCTTGCTAAATAAAAATTTCTCATGCCCAGAATTCTGTTTTTAGTCCTGTTCAAGTTTACTCCTGTACGTAGGAAAGGGAGAGTGAGAAAATTTATTTTGCAGTTGTTACTTTTAATTACTTAGGTGCTGCTCACCTACTAGGGTGAAGAAAGCCATATAAGTACCTAGCTAGAGAATCCTCCCTATTTTGCATCCCAAAAGAAAATGTACTTTAAAAATATTTGTTCTTGTTGACAGAGTGGTGCTCGAATCAATATTTCAGAAGGTTCCTGTCCAGAAAGAATTGTGACAATAACAGGCCCAACAGATGCGATTTTTAAGGCTTTTTCTATGATTGCATTAAAATTTGAAGAGGTAAGCAAATAAAATACATTTTTCTCTCTTCCAGTTGCAATACAAATATTGTCTGAATTTTCTCATGTTTGCTTTAACGCTAAATATAATTTGTTTAATGCTCTATTTAATGGCAATGAAAGTGGTTATGTTTTTATAAATGCTTTTGGCAGTAATACTGGAAGAGAAATAATGGGTCAATTTACAAGCTGTTTGATCATTTCTTTTGCTTTTCATAGACTTTAGGGAAAAGCAATTGCTTCCAGTAATGTGCTCTAATGGTGGAAAAAGTGTCTTGGAAATTTCTGGTCCCATTGTGGCTTTGATTTGAAAAGAATAATTGCATAACTTATAACTCGGTTTCTGTGTGAATCAGCTTGATAGTGATGTAAATTTTTTATATCAAAAAGAGTATAGATTTCATTCAACTGGAAGATTTTTTAAAAATTATTAAAAGCAAAATATATCATTGCCAATTACCGTATTTAGACTTCAGATTTTAAAATACAATAAATACACTGAAAATAAATAAGACAAAAGATAACCCTCTACTGTTAAACGTATGCAGACATGTACATACACAGCTGGAGGACATCAGCTTTCACAGGCCAAGTAGAATTAGACATGCCCAGTATTGTGGTGGGAAACCTCCATGAAAGACCCCAGGGGGCTGTAGAAAGTGGTGGCTGGTACTAATACAGTAAGGGTGCTCTTCTCTCTGCATCAGTATGACTATCTCAGTATCCCACCATGGTGTTAGAAAGTGCCGTCTTTCAGATGAGATGTAAAACTGAGGCCTTGTCACATGTGGTGAATAATATTCTTGTAGCACTTTTCTCGAAAGCAAGGAGGCATTTTTGCTAAACTTCAACCCGGACAATTACATTCTGCCTAAGTTCCCCAGTCAGTTTCAATATATATGGTTGCTTTCTTCACTTCCTCCCCTAAACTGTTGGGTACAGCTCCTGCATGCTATTAAATAGTTGCCATATTCCAAGAGAATTATGAAACACTTTGGTATCTTTTATGAGGAAAGGGCTCCATAAAGGCCCTATCCTAGAAAGTGCCGAGGGATACCTACAAGGAGCTAGTCACTCTCAGTCCCCACTGAAATCAGTGGAAACATCCCTCAAAGGCATTGAACACCATACAGAGTCAGGCCTAATAACTAAGACATCGTTAAATGCGCTGTACCTAACAAAGGGCAAGAAAGTTTGGGTTTCAGCATTTGAGATATTTTATTTATTGACTCTCTTGTATTTTAGGTGATAGGTTTGTATCTTAATGTGGCAGTTCTTAGTCAAAAAGGTCATTTACATTCATTGCGGCTACAGTAGCTGTGCATTATATGTTATAAAGTACCCACATTTGCTTCAAATGTAATTTGCCACGTTTAGATTTAAAAGCCGGGCTTGGATGACGTCTGCATCATGCGACCAGTTCTGTTTATTATAATTATTTTGAAAGTTCCCCATGGATAAAAATGGGCAATCAGAGAACTATAACTCTTGGAGGCGTAACAAAGTACTGTGTCTCACAAATTGCAAATGAGCTATAGAAATATCATGTGCTGCTGTTTTGATACATATCACGCCTTTCTGTTTTACATTTCTTCAGCCATTTTTTTAAAACATAAATCAGAATATTGTTTTCTTGCATTTCTCTATAAAATACTTTTATTCTCCCTTTCAGTTATGCTAACAGCATAACTACGGTGTAACAACCCAGAAGCGTGGCTGTACGGGAAGGTATAAAATGCTCGCCAAAGAAAACTCTTTATCAATTGGCTCTCAGAGCATAAATCCTGTTTAGAGGAAAAGCTGGCAGAACTCTAAAGCACCCTAAGGAATGCTGGGTCTGAGTTTGTGCGAAGACCCTTTTTCAGGCTAAAATTGTACTTCATGTATAGTGGGAGAGAAGCGAGAGAAATGAGAGTTGACCTTGTTAAATGTTTGCTGCTTCAAAGTTTATAATAATAATTGACGTATTTCTGGAAGCCCCAACTAGGTATCGTGTCTCTATTGCACTAGGTGTTGTGCAAATATTAAGTAAACATCCAGTCCGTGTCCCAATGGGTCATCCTCACAGCCCTCTGAGCTGCTGCAGAGTGGCGTTTTGGGAAGGGGGCCGAACAGGATATGCACAGGTGTGTGCACGCTGGTGATTCCACATAGTTAAAGAATTCAGTGGCAGGGCCAGGATCCGGCCCTGGTTGAGGATGGTACAGTAATCCCAGTGTCATTTGGCGGAGAGTGAGCAAATTGAGTCATTCATTTCACCAATAGCATGAATATTCAGCTAGCATAGCTTAACATTTTTAGTAGCATTTTTGTTTAATTGCTATTCGGTCACCCATCTATTCTTTGCTGTTGCATACCCTGACCTTGGAAGGAGAGGTGAGAAGAAACCCTCCCCTGTCCAATGGCTCCCCTCCCCCAACCTGGAGAAGGGGTATGTGTATAGGGGGCGGGGAGATAGGCATACCACCAGTAGCTGCTTTGGTTTGTTTTTCTTCAGTTTATGATGTCAGAAGATGGCCACATGTTCTCATGTGACCTCTCAACATAAAGGAAATAGCTTTAAAAGGTGTAGAAGGTGATATTCAGTTCTGCTCAGAATACTCTAAGCACTTCCTGTTCTCAGTTCATCAGCATCAAATCAGTAGAAACTGCTGACTCACTGAGGTCTTCCTTTTTCAACTGAGGTACTTTTAAAAAAAAAAAATTGTGCTAGCTAACTTGATTTAGCTCATGTGATGTCACATGCCCCTTAACACATAGTGTAGTAGGTTTGACATTGTTACAACCATGTTAGTTCTTTGTGTTTGTAGCCAGAGCTCCTCCCTAGCATTCTCTTTAGCCAGCTAACCCACATTAAAATACAATTTGTCCTGTATATAGTAGAGTTAAAATGTGTTTGCTAACACCTTTGGGGAGGAGGTGAACCACCTTTTATCTCTGTTATTTTTACTCTAGTAGCACGTAGGAGCCACAATAATGGACCAGGACTCTCCTGTGCTAGGCACCGTACAAATCCATAACAACAGCAACATGGTCCTTGCCACAAAGAACAACTCCATTATCTTCAGCAGGGTTGTACAGGATTTGGGTTAGCCAAAAATCTCATCCTGACTGTGATGATCACCTGGATGAATGATCATCCCAAACCAAACCTATAGAAAATTAGCATAAGACATTTCCTGGTAAGAGCTAATAACTGTTCACCCTTCTATGGTTTTGAGGTTGCAGTAGCTTGTTCTAAATCTGAATCCATCCTTTATCAAGTTGGCTAAAATCATTCATAAGTTGTTACCCTCTGGATCTAGGCAGTCCTTTTCCTTAATGCCCATAGCCTCACTCACGGATGCTTTGGGGCAGAATAAACTATTATAACATTTCTTTCTCTTTGTACTATCCGTCCATCACTAAGTTCTGTGGATTGCGTCTGACACAGTGAGGTGCACTGGGGGTTGAACAAAATGCTCTTGGTGCTCAAGTGAATATCAGCTCAATGCTGTTTTTTTGCTTTCAAGATAAAGTTATGTGAAATCTTCATTTCAACACTACAGGTATCTAATTGGGGAGAAACACATCCTAGGAGGACATGAGAGCCCTCAAACAACCCAGCCTTTCTAATACCAGCAAATAATCAAAACATACAGCCTAGTATAAGGAAGCCAGGCCTAAAAGAGACTTTTCTGCACTGGTATTGTTTCCTGCCTTTTACCAATAAGCTTTAACAATCTCTCAGGGCGACAGGCATGTTATTTTCTAGCAGGTTGCTAATGAATTCATATGCTTGCTAAACAAGCCAAGTTTGGATCACACTGATGATTAAAATAGGCACTTTTATCTAGAGGAAAACCAGGCCTATGAAAAATGGCAAAAATCAACATCGGTCATAGAAGTTGCAGCTGGCAAAGACATCTTAGATCACCAAATCTGTATCCCCTTGCAAACGCATGAGATTATCTCCCAATACAGTAATTAGCAGGTAGAGCTCAGTGAATAATGCAGAGAAATATTCCCAAAATGTGTTTGAAAAATGTTGGAAAATCCATATTTATTTGCAAATATTCACAAAATACTTGCCCAGCTGCATTAGATGGGTAAAAATTGGGGAAAAAACTGTTGGAAGAGTTAATCAGATAATTATCTGATCAGCTTTCATATCAAATATGAAACTGATACTACACTCAGAGGCAGATCCTTAGTTAGCCTAAATCAGGGGTCGGCAACCTTCCAGAAGTGGTGTGCCGAGTCTTCATTTATTCACTCTGATTTAAGGTTTCGTGTGCCAGTAATGCATTTTAACGTTTTTAGAAGGTCTCTTTCTATAAGTCTATAATATATAATTAAACTATTGTTGTATGTAAAGTAAATAAGGTTTTTAAAATGTTTAAGAAGCTTCATTTAAAATTAAATTAAAATGCAGAGCCCCCTGGACCAGTGGCCAGGACCCGGGCAGTGTGAGTGCCACTGAAAATCAGCTCACGTGCCGCCTTCGGCACGCGTGCCATAGGTTGCCTACCCCTGGCCTAAATTGTCATAAACCAGCTGAGGATCTGCCCAATAGTCTCATGGCTGTTTGCTGAGCACTGAGCTAGAATGGTTCTACATATGGCAGATTTACTGCACAGCTAGCCAGGGTGTGAATCTACCACGCAGCAGCTTGCCATGCAGTAATGTTCCACATGGGCACCGCATGACTTGGAGTGCAGCTTAGCGTGCAATATGCCAAGCCACGCTCTGAGACTTTCAGTGTGCTGTGGCAGTGTCCCTGTGCGACGGTACTGCACAGCAAGCTGGTGCTGTAGATTCATATCCCGGCTTGCCATGCAGTAGTTTCCTATATACACAAGCCCTTACTCTCAGACACTTTGTTGGCTACTGATGGGAGGGATGCTTCAGTGGTTAGGCAGCTATCCTGGTATTTAGGAGATCGAGGTAGAGGTGCCAACTTTGTGATTTGCGAGGGGTGCTTGACCCCTGCTCCGCCTCAGGCCCCACCCCCTCTAAACCGCTTCCCCCAAGCACCCACTCCGCTTCTTCCCAGCCCATTCCAGCCCGTCCCTCAAGTGTGCCCTGCCCCCGCTCCTCCCCCACCCTTCCAGTGCCTCCTGAACAGCTGATCGTGGTGGGTGGGAGGCGCTGGGAGGGAGGGGGAAGAGCTGATCAGTGGGTCTGAGGTGCTGAGCACCCACTATTTTTTTTCCGTGGGTGCTCCAGCCCCAGAGCACCCACGGAATCGGCGCCTATGGATCCAGGTACAATTCCCTGTTCTGCCATAGACTTCCTGTAGAATTGGGACAAGTCACGTAGTGTGTCTGTGCCTTAGTTCCCCATCTGTAAAATGGGGATGATAGCACTTCCTGACCTCCCAGGGGCATTGTGAAGGTAAATATATTACAGAATGTGGTATCCTCAAATACTATAATACTATAACACTAAAACTTCAGTTAGATGGGGGAGGGGGGTTCTCCACACTTCCACAGCTCTTTTGGGCCAGATTCTGTACAGGTAGGAGGCCTCCTCAGCAGAGGCGCTACAGTTCCCCCCATTTCCTCCCTTTGCCCCCCCACACACACCCCAAACATGAGCTGGGAGTAGGCAGCCAGGAAGCTGGCTCTGTCCGTCCGTGTGCCAGGCATCACGGTCACAATCAGCTTCCAAGGCTGCTCCTGGCCCAGCACAGCTATGTACTGCCTCATATACAAGTCTGTTGGCAAAGCCCCGCTTAGCTCCTAATGAAAGTTAGCTGTGTAGGAAAGACAGGGATGCGCACATTTTCTTGTTACATCAACAGGAACATTTTATCACGGCTGTCTTGTTTTAAAAGTCACTTTCCAAAACCTAAACAGAATGAAAACATTGCATGTAGCTGCCTGATATTGTCTATTAACATAGCAACATATCGCTAAATCTTGGCTGAATTTTTTTCCATATGCTAAGAAAATATTTTATTCCCTGCAGAATAAAGCAATCACAGGTCTACATTACTGTATAGAACAGAATAGAAGCCAAGCACTCATTTGCCATCATTTCTTTAATGAAGTTGTTATAGAACTAATCAGTTCTAAACCACTCATGAATATGGCATTATAATTTAACATTAGAAATTTTCTTTTTATGGCTACATGTAAATTAAGTGGTGACTCTCTAAGAATGCTTAGAACAAAATGTATTGCTACACAAAGAATAGCTTCCAAAGTTCACCATAATAATGCAAAGTTATGAAGTAAAGTACTTAAAACTTAGGCCCTGATTCTGCAAGCGCTTACACGAATACTTAATTTTATTCATGGGAGCAGCCCTCTTGGCCAACAGTGCTGCTCGTGTGCATAAATTAAGCACAGGTGTGTTTGTAGGACCATGGTCTTGGGGGGGAAAAAGATCAAAATAAGGATCAGTGTTTAAAAAAGAAAAAGTGGAATGAAGGGTTAGAACTGTGAATACAAAATGTGGTTACTTTAAAATCTGACCTTGTCAATTTGTACTTTATATACCCAAGACAATTGAGAAAATAAAGTACGGTATATAAGGAATTTATTGGCGGCACAGATAGCATCACCTATAGTTAATGTTGTCTGACACTTTCCATTATAACATCTTGTTTTCAGTTGCTTATAACTCTGCCAAACTTAAACAATGTAGACTGAAATTTTCCAGCTGGGTGTCTGCCTAAGACTCATTTTTCTGAGGAAAGTTTCATCTAAGTTTGGCAACTAAATTTGGTGACGATTCCATCTGCACTGAGCATGCTTTATCCACACAGAGTGATTGCTCATGTTCCAGTCCTGGGCTGCAAGGCGTGCTTAGGAATTTCCTTGTGCTTGTTGCTCCTGGCTGCCAGGTGCTGCTGCAGGTCCAGGCACCAGGAGTGAGAGGATTTCCACACATAGTCTTCCATGGTTTTTTTCCCAGCATGCAAGAAAATATTAAATCTTGGGAAGACATGGTATGTTGTTGTTTATATAGCCAGACTGGCTGCCAGTGAGCCAGGCAGATAATATGGCAGGAAACCAGGAAAATTTTGAAACCTGCCTGAACCATCAGAACCCTGCCTGACATCCAGGGCCGGCTCCAGGCACCAGCTGACCAAGCATGTGTTTGGGGCGGCCCCTTGTAAGGGGCAGCCAATCTTAGGGTGGCGGGGGGCGCTCAGGGTTTTTTTGTTTGTTTGTTTGTTTTTTGGTTCGGCGGGGCGGCGCTTGAAGGTTTTTTTGTTGTTGTTTTTGTTTCAGCCGGGCGGCAGGTTGTTTTTGGTTCAGAGGCGTTGCGTGGCGCTCGGGGGGGGGGGGGGGGCGGTTCGGCGGCGCGGCGCTCGGGGGGGTGTTTCGGCGGCGCGGTGCAGCGCTCCGGGGGGGCGTGTTTTGGCGGCGCGGCACTCGGGGGGGTATTTTGGCAGCGCAACGCAGCGCTCGGGGGGGGTTTCGGCGGGGGGGCGCAGGGCTGGGGGGGGGTGGTGGGGCGGGGCGGCACTCTTTTTTTTTTGCTTGGGGCGGCAAATAGTTAGAGCCGACCCTGCTGACATCCACTGGAATATTGTTGAAATTGACATATGCCTGCGGACTGTCAACAAATTGGCATTTTCCAATGGAAAAAAGGGTTCTGTTGGAAATTTTCTGACCTGCTCTAACCCGGAGCCAGTGGTTCCTGAGTTCTGGCCCTTTGCTGACATCCTTGTGGCTTTGGGCATCTCTATGATCGTCTCTTTGCAACTTTTCCTTTTTTTAAAAATGGTGATGTTAATACACAGAGGGGGTGCTATGGCCTTAAATTAATTGTTTATAAAGTTTGAAGGTGCTGAATATTATTATTACCAGATCAAATGGTAGAAATTGCTTATTCAAAATGTGAGAGAGTTTGGCAACCTTTTGTGACATAGGGCTTGCCTGTCTTTGAAGTGAAAGGCATGTTATATATCTGTGGCATATCACCAGCTAACAGCAACTTGGCAAAGTTTGATGGCATCCCACTTCTAAAAACCTAGCCATGGCATGCATTTGTACAGCACCTAACACGGTGGGGTCCTGGTCCATGACTAGGCTCCTAGACACTGTGGTAATACAAATTTATATTCATAGATAGATAGATAGATTAGATACATACACATAAAAAATAATATGTATACATACAAAATAATATATAGAATACATATACCTACATACACACTGTATATATTTCAGATGCATGCATGCCAAAACTTGCTGTAACCTGTATTGCTTTGTTTTGGATTGTAACCTCTTGCTGACAGTAAATATGACATGATGCAGTGTCGACGAAGGGAATCGCATAAGAACTAACCTGCAGCAGGCAGCCAAGCCTCATTGTGCTGAGATTCTGTCAACTTTTTTTAAGCGAAACAGGGTCAGACTGGGCCAACACTTAGATGGAAAACCTCTAATGTAAGAAATACCAAAGTGCTCCTGGTCATTAGGATAGCACTTTTCATTACTGCACTAATGCACCAACATAGCATCAGGCAGCACTGTACTCCTTGAGGTCCTCTCTTTTGCATGAAAGGTGGAACCAAGGTCCTGATCACTCATGGTCATTAAAGATCTCATGGCACTTTTCACAGGGTTAGAAGTGACAATCCTGATAGTTCTGGACAAATTATATTTTGGGTAATTACAGTAACTCTGCCAACCTAAATTCTCCCTCCATTAGTTACAATATTTTCCTTCCCTCTAGGTCCTAAGCTCCTGTGTGCTATTAAACAGCTGCTGCACTCCATCTCAGAGATGGGCCAAGTTACCTTACCTATGTCAAAGGGCTGGTGTGCCTTAATTAGCTAATGTTGATAAAAGTATGTTGCAATGCTTTTATGAAAGATGCTATAGAATTGCACAGTAGTGTTTGTGGCTTTTTATTTCCAACGACATCTAGGATTCTGGAATGCTCTCAGCCGTAACACATTCTATAGTGGGAAGATAAGCATTATAATTTCATTTGTAATAAAAATATTGCATTAGGGGGTTCTGTTTTGTGCTTGCAAAGGAGAATTTGAATAAGCAAAGCACATTTAACACAAATCTGAGGCTAGCAACTGGCAGAACTCTAAAATGCTCACTGAAGGGTACAGTAGAATCTCATTGATTAGATCAGATGAGATGAGATGAACAGGCGGTTGCTGCTGCGTATGCGATTCCCACAGCCATATCTGCATATTTGGATTACATATCTATCACACAAAAGAGTTTAGGAAAAGTTAAGCAGGGTTGAAAAATCTTTGAGATCTGCAGCAAAGTTAAATCTGGGAAGCTTCAAAATATTTATCAAAATAATAGTTCTTGGTTTCCCATTTCTGTTGACTAATGTTATTTATTGTTTCTCCGTTGTTTCCTTTGTATTAAAAGTGCTAACAAATATAATGTGATTGTTAGCTGATCAGGGACTGTCTTTGTGCCTGCATATTTCAGCACTTGGTATCAACAGTTCCATTGCTATGATGTCATCATGCAGTTCATGCTTCTGGGGTGCCACCAGCAGAGCTGGCTGCTTTATGTGCTACAAAAACACGATTCGCTTCCAGCTTACCAATTCTCCGAGAACAGCTTGAGTATTTACTTTGATCCTCTTAAGTGTTAAGAGGAATGACAAATCCTCAACTAATTCTTATTGACATTGTTATTACAGGACATAAATGCTTCAATGACAAACAGCACAGTGACAAGCAAACCACCTGTGACATTGCGACTTGTAGTCCCTGCAAGTCAGTGTGGATCCCTTATAGGAAAAGGCGGCTCCAAAATCAAAGAAATCAGGGAGGTAGGTTCTAGGATTCAAACAGGGGGATGCTAGGTAACTTTATGTAGCTAAATGTCCTAATATGTCCATTTAAAGAGTATGACTAACAGAGTCCTGCCATCGTAGTTGGTTCATTGCATTCATGTAAATATTTCATGAATGGAATGCTTAGCTAAACCAGCTGTAAAAGGTGTCGAAGACATCTATAGACTCATGAAAGTGGAGGATCTACAGTGGCATAACCAGTTTTAGAAGACATTTGTCTTTCCATGTCACAACCCTTCAAAAAGTAACTCCAACCTTCAACATCTTTAGTGCACAGCTGGAATTCGGATACACGTTTGAGAAGAGGAAAAAACAAGATGCCACATAGCAAAGGAACAGTTTAACACAGAATTGTTTCTTCAACTTTTAAAAAAATCCATAAGTACCGCAAATAATCTAGGTCTGAAGTATTGCTAATCCTTGTCTAATCTGAGTGTTTCAATTACAGCCTCTGAAGCCAGAAAAAGCCAAGTAGTTTAAAGGGACACTGTCCAAGTTAGTAGACATAATATTTGACTTACCTTGATTTGTCAAATTGGTTTTCTAACTATATTCCATACTCCCTTTACTCCCCCTCCTACCTCCAATATTATGGCTTCACAGGTGGCCTAATTTCACATATACTGATCCTGAGAAACTCGTATAAAATTTTTTAATCCAAGCTATTTCTGAGGACATCCACTCCGCCCCAAAATCCACTGACGTCGTAACCTCTCTGAAGCATCCCTGTGACAGAGGGTCTGTGGATTTTATTGTTGTTTTGCTTTTGTTTTGAGAACTTTCCTGGACTTTGCTTTTGGAGCTGCAGGCAGTTGGGGGGCATGGAACTATGTGAAGAGAAACTCCGCAAGAAGAGTTTGGAAATATGTTCCCCCTTGCAGCCTCCAACCCTCCTCTGGGTTTTAGTGGCAGAAGGAGTGATCTGGCATTAAGTGCGCAGGCTCAGAAATGAATAATTGTAGCAAAAGATGTTATTGATAACTACATCTTACAACCTATCCATGAGGAGAATGCTTCTTAACTTCCTAACATTCAGACTGCAGAGCTAAGCCAAATGGGTACACATTCATATTTGTTTGTTTGTTTGTTTAGATAGATTTCAGCCACAATAAAAAATGCCCATACAAAAAGTACTAAGCACCTGAACAATTGATTAAATCTACAGCAACATAATAATGACTACTCAGCAACATTAAGTACTCATGTACAGGAAATACATCACCTAATCAGGTCTAGATAACAAATACATTAGAGTTTTCCTTTAGATTAAATCTTATCAGATAGACAGTATTTGGATTAGTTTTTAATATTAAATTTACAATGCCAATTACCAATTTTCCTCTTGCCACAAAATACCAAGATATTTTTATATCAATTACCAATTTTATAAGCCTAATACATCATCAAAATGTATGCTATGCTGACAAAACTTTTGCAGAATTATTTGCAAGTCAGTCAAATAAACAATTAATAATCATATACACTCTAGGGGTATTTTGTACCTACTTTTAAACAGAACTTTTTGAAAAATGGAATTTTCATCCTATGGAAAATTCCAATGTTTCTACATTTGTTTTTGTCGTGAAATGGGGACAAAGTGTAGAAATATGCAATATTTTCACAAAAGGAAAGGTTAAAAAAAAATCAGTTTGGAAATATTGAAGCAAAAACTTTTGACATTTTTGATCAAAATGTTGATTTGAAATTAAATGTTTTGTTTTGTTTTGCATTTTACTGTCAAAAAAATTCATTGCAATCACTTTCTTACAAAAGGTTTTGATGAAATCACATTGTTGGGAAATGTCTTTGATTGAAAATTTGTGACCAGCTCTAGTTCTGAATATGTTTATTTAGATTAGTGTAACAGTAAGTAGGGAAGTGGTCAAAGGTAGAAAGAGCAGTTAGGTGCCCGAATCCCTTGGCTCTCAAGTCTTCCCCTGAATTCCTTCATTTGTTACCAAATTTGATTATTGTCCAAATTGTGCAACCACAGTTGATTCTGGGGATGATTCTTATTTCTGGGGAAATTCAATGCTTTTGGCCCCCTATTGTAAGGTATTAGGTCAAAAGAACAGTGTGAACTAAGTATCAGGGGGTAGCCATGTTAGTCTGTAGCCACAAAAACAACAAGGAGTCCGATGGCACCTTAAAGACTAACAGATTTATTTGGGCATAAGCTTTCGTGGGTAAAAAACCCACTTTTTACCCACGAAAGCTTATGCCCAAATAAATCTGTTAGTCTTTAAGGTGCCATCGGACTCCTTAGTGTGAACTAACTCCCTCTCCCTATCTGTAAGCCTAAAGGCAATGGCAAAGTTTTGCTCTCGGTTTCACACATGCCGTCCCACTATAGCCAAAGAATTGTAAAGATTAGCATGTTGAGTGATTGAATGGCACACTTGTAACTGAGAGCAGTATTTGACCCAGAGTATTTCGTACTAGGCCTGCTGGTGCTCTAAAAACTTTGTTTTAAATGGTGATTCCTGCCCAAATGAAAAAGGATCATCCATCCTCTCGAGATGCATTCTAATCTCATCATCACCCAACACACTGAGCAGCAGTAGTATGATAGATGTTCTTTTATGCTCAATCATGTAGCCAGCAGCAAAATGTTGTCTGCCTCAGTATTTTCAAGACTTGATTTTAAAAAAAAAGAGGCACAATGACATGAAAGATTGATCAAATTATGATGACATTCCAAAGCATATTAAAGGGACCCATAATTGATATTCTGGGTTTAAACAGCGCTAGTGAACAGAAGATGTAATCAGTAATTTAATCAGTCTCTGGAAAAAGAGTAAGATGTGTTGTGCATGGCCAACAGCAAACTAAATTAACTCCTTACTAACTGACACAAAATCAATGCAAGGCAAAAACATTTGTATCCACAAATCAGGACCAGAAATAAATTGGGTGTATAATGTATGAAAATACTAATTCAATAGAAACAGTTTTTGTTATGTTTTTTCCATCAATTGAAAAAGGCTTACAAGATTTTTGCTGGGTTATACCAGGGATGATTTTGGCCTCAGGTCTTTTTTTTTTTTTTTTTTAATAAAACATAATATTAACAATAAAAAAAAAAAAAAAAAAACACTGGCTCATTACATAGTTAGGTTCATTAGTGAACTAGAAGCTGATGATGTGCATATGTTTAATCAACACTAATAATAATTTAGAAGTGCTCCTGTATTGCTCAGCATCATTATGAGATATTCCAGAGTATAAAGCAACACCAAATTTCATTCAGTAAAATGATCTCAATCATCAATTCATTAAGGACTCACCAATCCATGACTGGAATTCATTTGGGAAGCTGAAGCTCTTCAGACAACAGCAATTATTTTTTTAATGATTTTCTTAATGATTGTGAAAGTCCTTAGTTTTCATATTTTTTCCATTGTATCTGCAGTAGTCTCTGTTTCAGGAAGTTGGGAGACTTCCCACTTTATTCATTTAACAACCATTGATAACTACACTTTCTACCATTGAGAATGCTTGCAAACTTGACTTCCGTACACAAATCTCCACCCGGCAGTTTTATATATATACAGCATAAAGCTAGCAGAGAACAGGCACGTTTTAGAGATCACTGTGCTTTATCAGATTATTTGTTATTGGTGAAAAAATGGCTTCTAATGTGCAGCTGTATTTTTATGACACTAATGTTTGTTTTGTTTGTTTTTTTCTTAAGTCCACAGGGGCCCAGGTTCAAGTAGCAGGGGATATGTTGCCAAATTCAACAGAACGTGCTGTAACTATATCAGGCACTCCGGATGCCATTATTCAGTGTGTAAAACAAATCTGTGTGGTCATGCTGGAGGTAAGAGAGCACTTAAAAACATTGAGGTTCATACTGATAATGTTCAGAAATTATATTAATTTCCTCCAAATCCCCCCACCCTCTCTCAAGCCTTGATCCTGTAAGATGCTGATCTCCCTCAGCTCGCAGCGATTTCAAGGCTAGTTGTCAATGCTCCTGGTGTTCAGAATGCACAGTGCCTCATCATTGGAGCAGGGTGTACTGACCATGAGTACAAGCCTTCAACACGGATTGTCATTAAAAAGTCAACAGCTAGTGGAAAAACACAAATCAGGATAAAAAGTAGAAATCTCAGGAATTTTCATGAAACAGAATACCCTGTAACATTTCATGCTGACCTTATTGAAATATTCGTTTTGATATCGTTGAAACCTTTCAATAAGGTCATCATTTTGTTTTTGTAAGGTCAGCGTGTTTCATTTTTACTTTGTCGCTTTGATTATATTATATTACTCTCATCTGTTTTATTAATATAGTATAATATAACTTTATCAAAACAAAATGTTCTGGCCTTCTTGAAACCAAATGCATCAATAAGGTCTAAACGAAGTATTTCAACCACACCAAAATGAAATATTTTAATAATTTACTGTTGAAAATGTTGACAAAATTAATACATTTCCTCCAAAACGTTTCAATGTTGTTGGATCGGCGTTTTCCAATGGAAAAACGTTCTGTCAAAAAAATGTTCCACTACATCTAGTCAACCATTACCACACTGTGATGTCTGACGTCCTACAGTTATTCTTTAATCTAAATATAGTGGGATGCGTGGCGTCTCTGATGATACAGTCTGATAACTCTTGTCTGGTTAGTAGCGACCACTCCACATCAAAAGAGCATGCAACCTAATAAATATCAATGTTATAAACTATTATTATTATAAGGACCAAACTTTGTCTCGCAGATAAGGAGCTCTTGCTTCAGTTGGCATCAGATGTGCATAAAAATGTAGCAAAACAGAAAGAAAATACTGAAAACCAGTTTCAGTCTATTAGCCACAGAGAGCTCGGCTTGACTTTGTGAAGAATTGATAAACTGTTGGAAAATAAAAAATCCATTTCTCTGTGTGTAGAATTTAGAATATATTTAAAGGGTGTGATTTTGAAAAGGGCTTAAATCTGTCCTTTCACTTCCCATCTTGTTCTCAGAGCTTTGCAGATGCAAATAACTGCAGGAGCAATTTTGCATCTCCCATTACTGGCACGTAGTCATTTAACTACCTGCTTTGTGGATGCAGGCAGTAGTCTGATGTCTAAATTATATTAATTACCCCCATAGTTATTTGAAGAGACAAACGAGGGCCAGGGAGTCATTTTCTGCCTGTAGAGCCATTTTCTTTCTGAGATAAACAGTTCTGAAAGTATAGAAAACAGAACTTGTTTAATTTTAGAGATAATAAGCTAGAGACAGCAAATCACCAGTTTGAAGCCTTAGAGAAGACAATGCTGTAACTGCATTTTGCTTCTTCAAACATTAAAGCATACATAAAATAAATGTGTTTAATTTGTTCAATGTATTTAATTTGGCAATGGTCACTGCTTTATTAAAATCAAATCGCCAATAATAGAGAATTAGGATGTAGAAATGTTATTTATTGTTGTTGGTGGTGATGGTTGACTGCAGTAGTGCCTAGAGGTCAGGACCACCTTGTGCCAGGCACTATGCAGATAATTTGAAGCCTGTTTTACAGGATTGTTCCCAGGGCCATTTTCTCTGTCTTAGTCTCTATAAAGAAATATTCATGCTTGGTCAAGTATTTACTGATCACATTTTTATCTACTGACTCTCAGAACAATTTTCTTCTTCTGTTACTTGCAGAGGACCCATCTTGCTCCCACTGAAGGCAGTGAGAATAGGCCTACACTAGCCATGGCTTTCCCCTACACTTCTCACTCCGAGTTAGGTGGAATGCAGGATCAGGCCCATTTAATTATCCCCGGAGTTCAATGAGCGTGGTGACTATAGCGCAGACTGAAAATTCTTATTTCACTTTTATACTGGGACACTTGGCTGTGTGACAGCACACAGCTGAATGTATTGTTCTCTTTTAACAGGTTTGTGCAAAGAGAGAACGCTGGGGAGAGTCTCCCAAAAGATTGACAAGTTTCAAAATTGGCACCTAACTTCCTTAGATCTCATGAAAAGCTAAATTCATTCCCAGGCCCCTTGAATCTTTACCAAATTATTGTGGAAACAAAACCAAACCTGTCTGCATTTTCCTTTTGCCTATGTAATAAGGACCGTAGCCCTGAAGTGAGTGTGAATTTTGCCACTGAATTCAGTGGGAGCAGGATCCAGGCTCTTGGGAGCAAGTATCAGAGGGGTAGCCATGTTAGTCTGGATCTGTAAAAAGCAACAAAGAGTCCTGTGGCACCTTATAGACTAACAGACGTATTGGAGCATAAGCTTTCGTGGGTGAATACCCACTTCATCAGACGCATGCGTGGGTATTCACCCACGAAAGCTTATGCTCCAATACGTCTGTTAGTCTATAAGGTGCCACAGGACTCTTTGTTGCCCTTGGGAGAATACGCTGGTGAATGGGGCAGAGGCATGCAATTGCTGTATGAGATGAACAAAGTAAAACATGATTTTATGTGAGCTACTTAATTCCACATCTTGATATGTTTTTGTTTTCAGTCCCCACCCAAAGGTGCCACCATTCCCTACCGTCCCAAACCTGCCTCTGCACCTATCATTTTTGCAGGTGGCCAGGTAAGAGCAGACACGATTTTGGCTTCAGCTGGAAACCACACCGTCTTGGCCCAACCTCAGCCAGCGCCTGTTAGTTTTCACCTTTTATACTTTTTTTGCCTGGTATAGTATGAATGTGTTTTATCCAGTGTGGAACATTATTGCTTGCAGAAAAGGAGAACACTGTGTTATAAACTTAAAATGAAAACAAGTCAAGGGCTTCTTTTAACTCGTCTTCTGTACCGTTATTGAATAAACCTCTGATACTTGTACCCTATTCATTTCAGTTTATGTCCCTGGCACTGGGTTTTGTTTTGTTTTTTCTCTGTGGCTTTTCCAGTAAATGCAACATCATAGTTGATGTTGCCAAGAACTTGTCACCTACCATGAGTAGCTGCATCAGGAATATTCTGCTTGGTAGCTGACAACACATTAGAGCAGTGGTTCTCAAACTTTTTTTTTCGCAGACCACTTGAAATTTGCTGAGGGTCTCGGCAGACCACTTAATGATCTTTCCAAATGTTGTTTGTACCGTTATCTATCTATTGTAAAGCACTTTGGATAAAAGCACTATATAAAAAAAACCTTAATAATAATTAACGTTTTTTGTTCTACACATAAAAGCACACAACTCATATTTTAATATCAGTAGTCTTACCTTTCTAATGTGATGGATGTGCCCTCTCCCCCCGCTGTGGCAGCCCCCGAGCTGGGGCTGGGACGGAGGGGGGGTCTCTCCCTCTCTCCCCCGCCGCAGCAGCCCCCGACCTGGGGCTAGGAAGGAGGGGGGTCTCTCCCCTGCCACAGAGTTGAGGCTGGGAAGGAGGACCATCTCTCCTCGGCAGCCTTAGCCCTGGAGCTGGGGAAAGTCACCTCTTTCTCTGGCCGCCACAGCCCTGCACATCCCAAATTCCCCCCACCGCTTCTTCTCACCCCACTGCCCCCTTCCACCTACTCCCTATCCCCCCAAGGCCACCACCTCACCTTACATGTGCATTTTCTCCAGGGTCCAGGCACCTAATTAGTGCAGCCACAGCTGCGCAGCTCCACTAATTAGGTGAGTGGCCCTTCATTCTCTCATGTGCGGCCCCCGAGGCGCGCACCTTAGAGGGAACTATCTGCGGAACACCTGAATGGAGCTCGCGGACCACTGGTGGTCCACGGACCACAGTTTGAGAACCTCTGAATTAGAGTATAACTCTGTAATCTTCTACAATAGAAAGGAACAAAAATAAGACAATTGGTATTTTATCAAGATTTAAAATTAGCTTCCATAGTAAGGTGGTAATTTGTTCTGTTGTAAAGAAACTGGTATCCAAAATCAGAAATGCTTTAATGGAACAAATCTTTTTATTATTTTTTTAAGTTGCAGTTTCATCAATTTTATAAAGCAATATAACTAAGTTACAGTATTGATCAGCTTTCACCATGTGATCACAGAGTACAAAGCTTCTGCTCAAGAAATGCTCTACTAATTTTCAAGTTTTCATAATTTTAATTTCCATGGGGCCAAGTCATGAGTTCCTGGGTAAAATATGAACACACAAAGTATTATATGCTGTTTTATTTTTACGATTATTTCTTACAGTGGTGCCTACGGCCCAACCATGAATGGGGCCCCGTTGTGGTAGGCACAGTAACAGAGCAGTAGACAGTCCCTGTCCTGAAGAGTTTCCACCTGTTCTGCACATCCTGATTTATACCATATCCAAAGCTTTGTTGTTGTTTGCTTTTTTACATGGTGGAGGTATGGCTGTTCCCCCCACATCTTGCTGCCTCTTCAAGCTATGTGACCATGGTTCCCACCCACTTTTAGCCCTTCTATGGTGTTTCCATACAATGTGTCTTGTTCTTCCCTTTGGATATTGCCTTGAAATAGGCGTACTAACCTGGTGCTTCGTTGCAGCTTGCCCTATCATCACCTAATGTGGAGAAAGGCAGCTGTTGATAAACTGACCTCCCAACAATACACACAGCCAATGGACTATCTAGACACGCCACTGATATGGTGTGTGAGCTGTTGTGCCAACAGTTCACCTAGAACACCATTTCTCCACGATCGCTTATGTTATGGCCAAATGAGAGGCCTTCCACTTCCTGTTTTCAGAGTGATGTCCTAGAGTGTCAAATCACCCCCTTGCTTGGAACTATCTGAGAACAGATGGCATCTGTAGCTGCCATAGCACCCATTTGGAGCATCTCAGGGTTCTGTAGAGCTGCTGGTTCATAAGAAGGCTGATGGCTACATCTCATAAGTGCATCGAAGAGCAAGTCAGGCCATTATGGATTAAAAGTTTTCCCAATGTCATTATTCGATAACACTAACTAGCCACTTTACAAACATGTTAATGTCCTTTATATTGACTCTCCAGTTACAGTCATGGTTGGCTGAAGTATTTTATGGTACATTTTGAAAAAAAAAAACCTAACTAAATATTAATTCCTGCTATCCAGGTCTGCTGCTCTTACTTTGACTGGTTTTCTTCAGAGTAAGATACCTACTTTCTTAATTGATAGAATTTAAATTGAAATTACTTTTCCAGAATTTGATCTCAGTTGACTGTGAAAGTTCACAGAGTAAGTTACTCCAGACATATATTTTAAGTTTATAGTGTGGTGTTCTCCTTTAAAGCAGATGTATATATATTCAATGATGCACGGTAGCAGTGCTGTAAATGATATTACCATCAAAGATTGTCTCAGTGAATAACAAATTACTCAAATAAAAGAATATTAAAAGTAGGCACTAGAATGCTCTCAACAGTTGGAATAAGTAATTGAAATTCTGTCTTATCATATAGTGTAACAGATCGCTGAATTCTAGTCATCTTTAATTTTATAAATCACAAAGAAAACAGCTGGGTGTTCTATATTTTTCTTAACACGACCTAGTTCAATCAAGAAAAAATAGCTGATTCTAATATTTTGTGTGAACCTTTGAACCTGTAGTCTCTCCCTTATTAGGCAAATTCTTCAGTACCTTAGAAAATGGTAGCGGTGGGCTTGGGAGTTAGCAAGGAAAGGATTTCTCATGGATTTTATTTCTAGTGTCAAAATACAGTATATGCATTATGTTTTTGATAGTGTAATAAGAAATCCTGAGTACAAATTAATATTGAAAACAAAATAAAATGGTATCAGCAGGGAAGAGATGCTGGATGGGGTCACTCTCCCTTCCTGTAGGATCAGTTTCAGTTTCAAATTATTTCATGGGTAAGCTGAAAGATTTGGGGTTTGTTTGCTTATTTTAACTATACTCTGCATATCAAGCTACCCTGGAAAAATCAAACTCCTACTATTATTTGATGAGATGGGGTTTTGCTGCTTTAAACATTTTTTTAATCTTCTCTGTGCTTTTCTCAGTATCGTATTACGTAGCAGAACGGAAAGGAAGGTGAACACAATGCTGCCTTTCTCTTAGTTCAGATCCGTACTAAAATCCAGCATATGCAGGGTTGTTGTTTTTTTAAATAATCCCAAAACATCACCCATGTCTGAAAGAAACAAGGTTTCGTCCCATTTGTCTACCCATATTTTTTGTACATTACCCTATCCCAAAAATGCACACTTCCAACATTGTCTCTTCAGGGACAGACTTTGCCCTGACTTACCCTTCATTCAACCTCAATGACTTCACAGGCTGTAAATCAGGACAAATTTTAGACCCAGGGGACCAACCATTCCCACTTTCATTGAAGTCAGTGGCAAAATTTCCATTGACTTTACTGGGAGCAGGATCCCACACCTGGTTTGTAAATTAAAGTGACCATTTCCTCTTTCCATGCATTTGGTCAATTATTTTTATGTATTATTTCTGTTGCAGTAACTCCCAAAATGTGCTTGGCTTGTTCCAACAATGGAGAGGACACAGTCCTGCCCCAAAGCGTTTTACAGTCTGAAGTGCAAAGGTGCTGGAACTAGGGGTGCTGGGGGTGCTGCCACATCCCCTGGCTTGAAGTGGTTTCCATCATATACAGGGTTTACAGTTTGGTTCAATGGCTCTCAGCACCCCCACCATACAAATGGTTCCAGTACCTCTGCTGAAGTGTGCTCTTTCTACTATATTTGAAATAGAGCTAAGCTCAGATTGAACACTGCTGAAGTAGGCCAGAAGGTCAAAGGTTTAGTGTAGTGCTTTTCAGTCCAAATGGTTTGCTCACAGAATTAGACCCCAATCCAGCAGAGTATTTAAGCATGATATCAATGGGACTACTCTCATGCTTGAAGTTAAACACCTGCATAAGGTCCTGACCCAGAAAAACAATTAAGCATGTGCTCAGCTTTAAGCATGTGCTTATGTCTATCCCTATTCAGCAAAGCATTTAAACATATGCTGAGCTTTAAGCATGTCCTTAAATGACACTGCTCTTGGTGGAACTTAAGCGTGTGCTTTTGTGTTTTTCTGGCTCAGGGCCTTAATTTACAGTTTATCAAAGCGTTACTGCCTGGTTTTATGCCCAAATCTCCACATAACTGACTATGCACATGACTAGTCCCATTGTATTCAATAGCACTCGTGTGCATAAAGATACTCACAGGCATAAGTATTTGTAGGATTGGGGCCTGACTTTATAAGTAACTTTAAAATAAACGAAATGTTTCTGCTCAAGGAGAGAAGTGCTGGTGTACAAATTTCTAATAAGTAGCTGGAACATTTAATTAAACTCCGTTAAATGAATTGTTCTATAATTTTCAGAGCAGTCATTTCTTTCTCAGAGACCTTTTTGTCAAATAAGCATTTTGCAACCTAAGCTAATCAGCTCTCGTCCTGTTTCTGATTCTGTCTGTACAAATATTTATAAATTATAATCTGTCCTTCTGTTTTCCCTCCTGTCTAAGCACAAACACATTAAAATGTTTTGATGGGCTATCCCTTTTGGAAAAGTCGTGCAGAATGTAATAGACAATTACAACCTTTTGTATAGGTTGGTTTTTTTTAAACCATCCTGTAGAATTTAATAGAGGCAGCAGGCGAGGATAGCCACAGCATCATGTATCTCCTCCCTTCCCTGACATGCCCCTTAGGCCAGTGGCAAAGGATAGCTGGCCCAGGAGCTTCCTCCATCCAGTACCAGCAGAATTCCATGCTGGCCATTTGTGGACAGAATCCAACCTTTTTGCACTGCTTGAGCGGGCCCAGCAAAGGGCTGTGTTTCACTTGAGAATCTGGCTCTTTATGTAAAAGAAGAAAATTAATTTTACTATCCCCACGAATCATTTCAAAATCCTTAATCCAGCCTTGTGCAGAGTTGTGTGAGAAAGACACACAGGAATCCGTTACCTCAGGGATGGAGGAGGCCGAAAAAACCATTGTTTTGTAGGGCCACCTGAAGCTAAGCACAAAGACATCTCCAAGCAAGTCCAGCAGCCAGTTGGGGCCCAAATCCTCTTCCGCACAGACCCATGGAGTTTGACCCTTGTGGTGGAAAGTGCTTGCTGCCCCTAAGTTCCTGGAGGCATTTGGCCACAGTCTGCCCTCTCTTACACTGAGGGTGGAATGTGGCCAAATGTGCCTGCCTGGGGCGCCATGCCTGGAGGAGCACCCACTGTTGCAGTGCCCCTCGCAACACCTCCCCCATTGGGCTGTACCTGAAAGGCACAACAGAGCCCTTCCTGTACTGTGCGGCTGTCAAAGCAGCATAAGAAAATTAAGCTTCCCTTAGCATGTAATGAAATGTGATTTGCATTAGATTTGGAAAACAGCACAAGGTTCTCTCTAGCCTGATGAGAGTGGAGTACTTATTGTCTAATCTGACTGATACGTATCTTTAATTTTGCTTGTCATTTTCAGGCGTTTACAATTCAGGGGCAGTATGCCATCCCTCATCCAGACGTGAGTCCAGCGCATGTAAATTACTCCCTTCTTCTTTCTCTCTTTCTCTTATTTGTTCTGGGCAGCATTTACTTTCTAGAGTTAACATTAAGACATGCCTGTAGATGCCTGTACTTAACAGTGTACCATATAGCCAAGTGTTAGCGTTACTGGATAACTTCTGTAATAATTGCTAGAAAGTACAATGACCCAGATACAAATGACAGTTTTTTGTCTTTTATGCATGCTATGTATTTGAGTTTTTAATATGTAATTCTACAGAAAAGTAGTTAATATTAACTATAGCCATTACATGTAATAACAATAGAGACGTCATTTTAACCAGTTTTTCTATACAGTAGAATAGAATGAATGATTAAACCTTTATTTTAATTTTAATTAATCCAGTTTTAAAACATGTAAGATGGTTTTCTCTACTCTGAAATAATTCCATTTGATTGGTTAGTTCTAATTTCCCATCCTGCCCTGCAGTTGACCAAGCTTCACCAGTTGGCTATGCAGCATCCCCCCTTTACTCCCCTTGGGCAGACCACCCCTGGTTTCCCTGGTACGTACCCATGACCCCCTGGGGATGTCCTTCTTCTTAACAGCTTTGTTTCCCATGGTCATTACATCATTTTAATACTAAATGTGGGCAATGACCGATGATCCTTTTGTTTTCACACCTTAATCTTTGTTCTTTTTCCCTGTGGCTCTGTTTGTTTTTGTCATTACTAAATTCTTGTGCTTTGTTTGTTCCATTTATTTTAATACAATCCACTTAATTTGTGCCATCAGCCAAAGAGCCTGAGTTTCTTTGAGTTAGTCCTATGCAAAGTTATTATGCACCACATAGTACGTACCAGTTAGTATTACCTAAAGTACTGGATAAAATTAATTTTGTTGGACCTCCGTTTTTGTATTGTGCATTGAAAAAATCCAAAGAGAAATTAAAATCTAAGAATGGAAAATATATTTACAGTATAATTACAGATTAATTAAAAATTTTAGAACATACAATTGAGGGCCTAAACAGGCATCCCTTGTACGCTAAAATTCCTTTTGGCTTCCATTATTCTTGTTGTCCTTGGAACAAATTCTGCTGTTCTTAATTGTGCAAAACTCCCAATGAAGGCAATGGAATTTTGCTCAAGTAAGGTCATAATTGTTAAGGCCTGTCAGGTATATTTGTTTGTTTGGAAAAGAGGATTGAAATTAGATAAACTTTCAATTAAATCAGTTTAATGTACATTTTATTTTGTTTCAGTAAATATTGGGCTTGGAATTCAAGATTTTTCCCAAGACATGAATAATTATACACTGGTACATATTTTGTATGGCAAGTAATAACATTTTTATCAAATACATCAAATTTTGTGAGAGACTGAATCATTTCATTATTTTAATTGTTTATATGATTTTTGGACTACAATATTCAGCAAATATACACAGTGTAAAATAAACATACACAATATGTAAATAAATTAATGTAAATATAATGAACATTTAGATAAAGTATTCTGAATAAAATTATTCCTTTTCCATCTTTGCTAGTGTGGGAAAAATACATTTTAAAATATATCTTTATACACAGAAAAATTGGAAAGGGAAGAAAGAAAAATGACACAAACAATATAATTTGCTTCTACATGGTGTATCTGATAAAATATCAGCAAATAATATTAAATTACCTTTCCTGGCTTTATATTTTCCGTGTTTTTCTACTTGTCATTAACATGCTGCTCCTTAATCTTTTCCTTGTTATATTTGTGATTTGTATGTTTCCGTAACTATACTGAGTGTTAGAGCACTAATTGCATTTCTCCTAAGCATTTTCCTTTTGTCCACCCAATTTAAAAACAAATGTATGCAACTTACAGTATTTTGTACATTTCCCTAAAAAAAAAAAAGAAAAAAGTTCTTTCCAACATTTCTGCAACATCACTAATCCCATGTACAATTTAAGTTCACCTAGTTTATTTTCTCCATCTTTTCTTTATTTTATCAGTTTTCTTTTCACATTTTACTTTTTGTTTACTGTAGATTTCCACTTTTTATTTTGTGTAATTCAGCGCTCCTGGTAGATAGGTCAAAATTCAGATATCCGTTCATTTTTGGCAATTAATGTATATGGAACACATTTCATAGTTATTTATAGGTGGAACCATCCACTTTCTATAAACTTTTCATAGCATTGTAGACTCTGCCGTGACATTTGTTATTTTGGTGGGTTAAAGGTTAATTAAAATAAGAATAAATTAAAGTCAGTCCAACCTTCTTAATTTTTGCATCTCTTGCTTTCTTTTCTCTTTTGCTAGCAGTTCTGTATTTTTCATTGCTACTCTCTTTTATCTATTTTTTTTCATATTTTCCTTCTTTTAAATATCATTTGTTGTGTCTTCCCTTTTTTTCAAAACGATTGGCATAACATGTTCCCCTCTGTCCCTTCAATATAGGATTGGATGCCACTACTCCAACCAGTTCCCATGAGCTTACTATTCCAAATGATGTAAGTGGACCAATAGTCAGTCTCTCTCTCTCTCTCTCTCTCACTTGTGCTACTGTAGGTGGAATATTTCATTTTGTGTCAATTCATCAATTTGTTACCAAAATAAATTTAAACTGTGCTATCAGAACTGTGTTACAGAGTATCAGAGTGCAGGGCAAAAGGGGGGGGAAATTACAGTTTATGCTAGTGTCAGTACTCGAATGAGTTTTGGATACTTAAGGAATTAATACATCTAGGGAGAGTTAGTAGAATAGTGGTATAAAAAAAGAAGACAAAGTGAGACTGGATGGCTCTGTTGAATGACAAGGACTGAGATACAGAGCATTTCACCTGTGGTCACGTGGTCCAGTAAGGCCAGGTTGGTTGTTACTGAAAGTGTTATCAATAGGACTGTCAAGCGATTAATCATGATTAATCGCGCTGTTAAACAATAATTATTATATTAAATATAAATATTTTTGATGTTTTCCTCATTTTCAAATATATTGATTTCAATTACAACACCAAATACAAAGTTCACAGTGCTCACTTTATTTTTATTTTTATAATAAATATTTGCACTGTAAAAATAAATAGCATTTTTCAATTCACTTAATACAAGTACTGTAGTGCAATCTCATTATCATGAAAGTTGAACTTACAAATGTATAATTAGGTACAAAAAATACCTGCATTCAGAAATAAACAATGCAAAACTTTAGAGCCTACAGGTCCACTCAGTCCTATTTCTTGTTCAGCCAATCGCTCAGACAAACAAGTTTGTTTACATTTACAGGAGATAATGCTGCCCGCTTCTTGTTTACAATGTCACCTGAAAGTGAGAACAGTCATTTGTATGGCACTGTTGTAGCCGGCTGTGATGGGTTGGGTCACAGAAACCCCTTTGGGAACAGCCGCCTGATGTGCCTAGACTACCTCTGAGCCTGTTTTCCCTGCCAGCTTGAGACTTCAGTGCCTTACCTTGTTTGAGCCAGACACATTTGCCTGCTGCAAACACAGATCCAAATCTGAACCATGTCCCCCACAAGCTGCAGGCTTAACTGAAAACAGCTTAAGAAGTGCTCCTGTCTCCAGCATGCAGATACCCAACTCCCAATGGGGTCCAAATCCCAAATAAATCCGTTTTACCCTGTATAAAGCTTATGCACAGCTGTCCCCCCACCCCCTTCCAGGTATTAATACTTACTCTGGGTTAATTAATAAGTAAAAATGATTTTATTAAACACAAAAAGTAGGATTTAAGTGGTTCCAAGTAATAACAGACAGAACAAAGTAAATTACCAAACCAAATAGAACAGAAACATGCACGTCTAAGCCTAGTACAGTAGGAAACAATGCAGGTAAATCTCACCCTCAGAGATGTTCCAATAAGCTTCTTTGACAGACTGGTCTCCTTCTAGTCTGGGCCCAATCCTTTCCCCTGGTACAGTCCTTGTTCCAGCTCAGGTGGTAGCTAAGGGATTTCTCATGACTGCAACCCCTTTTGTTCTGTTCCACCCCCTTATATATCTTTTGCACAAGGTGAGAATCCTTTGTCCCTTTCTGGGTTCCCACCCCTCCTCCTAAATGGAAAAGCACCAGGTTAAAAGATGGATTCCAGTTCAGGTGACATGATCACATGTCACTGTAAGACTTCATTACCCACTTGCCAGCACACAGGTATACAGGAAAACTTACAAGTAAACAGAGCCATTTACAACCAATTGTCCTGGTTAATGGGAGCCATCAAGATTCCAAGCCACCATTAATGGCCCACACTTTGCATAATTACAATAGGCCCTCAGAGTTATATTTCATATTTCTAGTTTCAGATACAAGAATGATACATTTATACAAATTGGGTGACCATATTCAGTAGATTATAAGCTTTGTAATGATACCTTACAAGAGACCTTTTGCATGAAGCATATTCCAGTTACATTATATTCACACGCATTAGCATATTTTAATAACATCATATGGAGTGCACCATCACACCGGCGTTGCAAGATGTTTACGTGCCAGATGCGCTAAAGATTCATATGTCCCTTCATGCTTCAACTACCATTCCAGAGGACATGCGTCCAAGGTGATGACGGGTTCTGCTCGATAACGATCCAAAGCAGTGCAGACCAACACATGTTCATTTTCATCATCTGAGTCAATGCCACCAGCAGAAGGTTGATTTTCTTTTTTGGTGGTTTGGATTCTGTAGTTTCCGCATCAGAGTATTGCTCTTTTAAGACTTCTGAAAGCATGCTCCACATCCCGTCCCAATCAGATTTTGGAAGGCACTTCAGATTCTTAAATCTTGAGTGCTATAGCTATCTTTAGAAATCTCACATTGGTACCTTCTTTGTGTTTTGTTAAATCTGCACTGAAAGTGTTCTTAAAATGAACAACATGCTGGGTCATCATCCAAGACTGCTATAACATTAAATATATGGGAGACATACAATTCTCTCCCAAGGAGTTCAGTCACAAATTTAATTAACACATTTTTTTAACGAGCGTCATCAGCATGGAAGCATGTTCTCTGGAATGGTGGCCAAAGCATGAAGGGGCATACAAATGTTTAGCATATCAGGCACGTAAATACCTTGCAATGCCAGCTACAAAAGTGACATGCGAACAGCTGTTCTCACTTTCAGGCAGGGCCGGCGCAACCCATTAGTGCTAACATTTGGGGGGCGGTGACCGCGGCGGCCGGATCTTCGGGCGCCCTGGTCGTCGGCAGTATTTTGGGGGCGGGACCTTCCGCCGCCTAGGGCAGCAAAAAAGCTGGCGGCGCTCCTGCTTTCAGGTGACGTAAATAAGAAGCAGGCAGCATTATCTCCTGTTTCTCTTAGTGATTGGCTGGACAAGAAGTAGGACTGAGTGGACTTGTAGGCTTTAAAGTTTTACATTGTTTTGTTTTTGAGTGTAGTTATGTAACAAAAAAATGTACATTTGTAAGTTGCACTTTCACGATAAAGAGATTGCACTGCAGTACTTGTATGAGGTGAATTGAAAAATACTATTTATTTTATCATTTTACAGTGCAAATATTTGTAATAAAAATTATATAAAGTGAGCACTGTACACTTTGTATTCTGTGTTGTAATTGAAATCAATATATTCGAAAATGTAGAAAAACATCCAAAATATTTAATACATTTCAATTGGTATTCTATTGTTTAACAGTGCGATTAATCACGATTAATTTTTAACTGTGATGAATCGAGAGCCCTAATTATCAATCACTGGATGGTTGGCGCCCTAAGTGGAGTTAGTAACTAAGGAATAGGTGTTTGCATCACAGGTGGCACCCTGATTAACAGTCCCAGTAAAAACACCAAGAACTGAATGGACTTGGAAAATGAACAACCTCCATATTCTATGGGGAAGTTCCTCCAGGTTAGGACTGAGAACACATAGGCCAGCTAGTTTGGGGAAACTGCACTGTAACTTGCTTGTGCCATATCGTTCTGGACTAGTCAGAGGACCTTTGTCTCCAAGGCTGTCAATTCAGTGTCTTTCATGAGCACAAAATGTACTTAAACTATATAAACGTGCAATGTAAACAACATTGCTTTTAAAAAGAGAGGTTAAAAACTGGAGCAACACTCTGGGAACTCCAAATGGGATATGATTGGGCTACCTAGCCCTCACCTGCAACAGTCCTCCCCCTACCCTACAAGGTGCTGGAACTTTAGACGTCCCCTTAACATTTCCAATTGATTCTTTGCCTGCCATAGAAAAAACCTTCAAATATTTGCCGTCAGCTCTAGGTCTTATCAACTTTCATTATAAATGAATGACACAGAAAATTGAAGATATCCCCTCCAGTAAAAGAAGCTTTCAAGCATGAATGGGATCACAAATAACAATTACATTACTTACCAGATACTTATAACATCACATAAACTCTCTTAATCTCAGTGGCAGTGATTTATAGAAAGAAGAGGAGAAAACAAATCAGAGTTAATAGGAAAAAGGCGTCTCCTTTCCCAAGTACCTGAGATCTGGCAAGCTTTGCATTAGTAGGAGGACACCCTGCTAATATGTTTTATCATCTAGTTTATTGTTTGTTCAGAATTTTATGAGAGCACCATATTTGTCCTTACAGTGCAGGTTTGAGGAAGCTCATTGCCAAATTCTACTCTTGCTCACAGCACTGTAAATCCAGAGTAACTCCATTTACTTCAGAGCTGATGAAAGCGAGAGCAGACTTTGGCCCTGTGTCCCTTTTGCAACAGAGAGAATCTGTTCCTAGCCTCACAACTGTAATACACACTGACTCAGCACTAACCTCTGACATGCAAATGTGCATCACTGCATTATTTGAAAAATCCTCCTGCAATAGCAGATTTTTCAAGATCTAGTAAAACAAGCCAGCATATGTCAGTTTAAAATCAAGCCCATTGTAAGTTAAGTCAAGCCCAGTCTCACCGCCACCTTTTTAAAAGGGATCCCTGAGGACGAAATGGGTTTAGGCATAGAAATAGCCGGCAGGAATGCTACAGCTAAGAAAATGGAATAATATTTTGGGTTGGTTCCTAGCATTAAATTCAACTGTATATTAATAGAAGTGCTAAATGGACTCGGTACGCTGCATATGTGCAGGTGTGTGTGCAGTGCAGCCAGCCCGAGAAGTGGTACAATTTTGGGGGGGATTCTCATGATAAAATACAGGCAGCTCAGGAATTTTGGCTATTTGTGTTTCTGGCAGCCAGAGCAGCTGACTGCAGTACAGAAGGGTGTATGTTCTCAGCAGGCAGAGTCCTGGAGCAGGCACAACTGACCAGAGCAACCTAGGGCTGATGGAAAGGAGGGACAATTGTTCGGGCCCCCGCTGAGCTTGAGTTGGGAGGGGACCCAGTGAACACGGTATACCAGGGCCCCAAATTTTTCTCGATAGGCCTGGAGCTGCACCCATTCTGAGCTCACTAGCCAAAGCTTCATTCCCTCACCACCAAGCCCCTCCCCTGCAGGCTGGAGACAGGGAGAGGCTGTCTGAGCAGTTTATGGGAATGGGGGGC